GGATTATTGTGCAACATTCGGTTGATAAGGTTTCGACGAGGTCTTTTCGCACGTAGACAGTGTGAATTTATATACTAAACAAAACATTCAACGGTTTCCCTCTGTCTGGTTAATCTTTAACAGCAACGGGTGGATATTATAAGAACCTAACGTGTTAAAAATTAATATATTGTAATGATAAATATATCAGCTATTACTTCCTATGATCGATGGCAACAAAAGTGAAAAGCAGGTTAGAGCTGCTGACTATGTGTAAGCTTTGTATCAGATATTCGTACGTGTTAGCAAGCAAGTAACATCTGCTGTGTGAGAGTGGGGCGGACGGGTATTTACAATATAGACCTAAACAAACAATGTTCACGCGGAGACGATTACATTATCGAGATTAGCTTATGTCCAAAAAACTATACTATAATTAATGTCTAGGATTCAACTGACAAAACAATGTATGTGGTGTTGACATCAACACGATCGTAATGCTTGAGATTATATTTTACCTGACAACATTGTATTGATATTTGACCTTATCTCATTTTTATCAAATTTGCAGGCGCATACAAAATAACACGTATTTAGATTGTAAACATTACTGATAGAAACACGTTTGCATTTCTAGGTTACGGGTGGCATTCTTAGAAAAATACCGATGACATGAAAAGAGTAACACGTGATAAAAGTGTTCCCTTTAGGGACAGAGAGCAGCAGTATAATACCTTGTTGCAAACAGACAGACAGATATTATATTTAAGTCTCACCGCATGTAAAAGTACAGATATATACACATAATATACATAACATGAGCCACCCTTTAAGGGTTATGAAAGACTATTTTAAATGTAAATTACATAAAAGCGACATATATTATAAAGGTAATAATATAAAATTAGCCATATAAAGATGTTTTCTTTTTTGAAGTATATAAAAGCAGGTGTTGGCTGTAAAATAAACATGCTATTTTAAAAAGTAAAACCATTTTTTCATTATCACATAAATCTAGGAAGTTGCAACAAACCATTGCGTTTCAAAACAAAGCAGCACAACACATCAAACCACGACCCTTAGATGCAGCTGGGATCCCCTTGGCTGGGACCTCAAGGGCTGAAACCTCCAAGGATGGCACTCCCTGGTATGGGACACCCAGGGATGGGACATCCAGGGATGGGACACCTCTGATTCACCGTAAGTATGGATTACTTCCTGACTCACACTCGTGTTGCGTCCCGCGTAATTGTCGCATTCATGGAATGAGTCTGCGAAGCCGGTCGTAGCTCAGTGACTCATGTTTTTTCAATTCTTTGTTCCAGAACCCGACGTTGAAGACATTCTGAATGAAGTGGTGCAAACGGTTCATCACCAACACCAACACCTGTTGTTGTTGGGGTCGAGATGTCCCGATCAAGCAGCATAAGGGACCGTACGGATGGAAAAGAGGTTCAGTTCAACACCAGACATGGTACTGTCAAGACCTGTTGTCAAGACCTGCTTACAACTGCTGACAAGACCTGCTAGGAACTGTTGTGCAGACCTGTGCCATTGTACTCATGGACATGGCTCATATAAAAGAAAACAGAAAAGATTTCATTTAAATACTAGAGAAAAAACAAAAAGAAGGCGAGTTGCTCTCCGACACTGCCTCACGTATTCTGTTGATAGTCCATGTCTTGGGTGAGAACTACACTAGTTAGAATTTAGAAGACCATTACGATACACCTGACATGTGCAAGGTAAATAACATGTTAAGAAAACAAATACAAATGCTATATGTGTACAGTACACAACCCCGTGCACTTAAAATAATCCACGAATCCGTTGATATATGACCAGATGATGGCCACATGAATACGTGCAAACACTTAGTTGCGGGGTATAGCAACGTGCAGTGAACTTGGACAAAGTACTGTGACTATGTGTCCCAGTCCTCCCAGCTGTGAATGGGTACCTCGTAAGGATGGAAAAGCCACAATAACTCGGTGCACCTAGTGTCTGCAAGAGTTGTATGCTCCCAAGGGATTTGAGATTGATAATACGATGTGCCGTTGAGACTGACATCAAAATGATCGAGGCACCTTGAGCATGTACTAGTTACGTGGATATGTGCGCTATATAAATAACCTATAATAATAAGAAAAACAAATATGTGACACGTGTTTTTTTTATTTGTTTTCAGGATTTACTGTGGAACAATCGATTTTGCCCCGAAATATGTGCTGAAGAAGTCCGTGCCATTGGTCGAGTGAACGTATTTTATTTTAGCACTGAAGATGACCGGAATAAAGGCCAATATGCATTTGAATGCGGGCTCAAGGAGCAAGATTATGAACAGTCGAAACACAGTACTGCTTACTCTATAAAAGGTAAAACAGTACTGACGTTTTGGCAAGAACATCCGCCTCACAACTGCGAACATTGTGTCTGATCAAGCATCATAAAGGGCCATCCACATGCAAAAGGGTTCAATTACCCCCACCTTTGGTGACTGCGGTCCATAAATGTCAGTGGTGCCGCCTTTGGTCGCGGGTCCCCGCCATATAAACATCGCTAACCCTGTCAATGCCTACATCGATTTGAGTCAGTGTTACCTCCTGCGTCTTTTTTTGTCAAGTGTTCTTGTTAGCGGGGAAAATAAAATATTGAAAATGTCAACCTATCATTATTGTTGTTGTTTGCATAGTATGCACCATTTTGAGAGAGATGATTGGTCCTGAAAACGAGTGTTGGATGGGTGAGGGTAGTGACCACAGAGATTTAAACACTGACACGGGTGGATGCCCATCTTTGTTTTCACAGGGCACTTACTGCCATGGGTCAGCAACCTGCTGTACGTGTCCTTCATCACGGCAGCGCAATATATACACCGAAATGTACCATTATAGGCTATTGTATCGTTTTTTCTAGACAGGAAGACCTTCGTCACTTCGGTCGCGGGTCCCCTCCAATTTAACATTGCTAACCCTGTCAATGCCTACATCGATTTGAGTAAGTGTTACCCCCGCATCTGCCTCAAAATAAAGAATACAGATGGTATGGATTTGGTAGTTGGTCAAAAGCGGGAAAGCTTTTGTTTGTGATTATTAACATTTTCCTTTGATCATGTATCTATCTGTGTCTGTCTTTCTTAGTTGTGATAAGCGACCCGGTCGGAGAGTAACATAATCAAATCTCGATGTTTACTACGATGATTCAGTGTTGTCATGTGCCTCCGTCGCCATCAAACTTACCTTTTTGTCGTATTTCCTTCAATGCAAACTGAATATCGTTTGTGATCGTAGAGTGGAGTAACCTTAAAAAAACCTGGATTCTGGGTTGTATTCGAGGAAATACGGTAGTTTGTAAGAAGCGAGTTTGTCAGTATTTGCCCCAACATATTTGAACATATTGTTCAATGTAGGTCAGACAGTCTTTTAAGAGACTCTCAGTTGGGATATTTGTATAACATACATTACGCTCACAGAAGCGATTGTAACCAACCATAACATGTGTGTCGTCTAGCTGTGTTGACTCGTCTCAACATATATGCTTCGGATGTTCTCCTGACATACACAGGACAAAGAGCACAGCAACGTGCGTAGGATGAACATGGACTCTTTCACAAGTGAAGACATGCTTTCTCAAAACAACTGCGATTAGTCATAGGATTAAGATGATCCTATCTTAGTATTAATGTATAGAAAAGTGAGATCATCATAATCTTATGACTAATCGTAACTGTTTTGTAAAAGCTCAGTCCTAACCATGAGATGTAAGACGCACATCCACAACTGCCTTATGTGAGTGAGTAAACAACAAATATTTATCAAAGTTTCACGTTTTTATTGAGAAAAACATACGTAACTAAATCGATACGTGAATGATAGGCTCATCGGTGTTCTTCCTCAGTTGAAAGTTGTTAGGGGCGGTATTCACTGTCGGTGTGTGTGTGTGTGTGTGTGTGTGTGTGTGTGTGCGCGTGCGTGCGCGTGTGTGTGTGCTCAAAACAAATGGGAACATGGAATTAGTGCAAGGTACTAAACACATGTTAAAGCTACAGCGAAGATACAATGATAATGTATATTATGATATTTACACTAAGGAATTGGTTACTAAATGGAAAAGGAGAGATCATTTTCTTTATTCAACAAACATTTTAAATTATTACTGTGAGCATAACATACTCAATGTATTTATACACATTCAATATTTTAATGCATTTCCAAAAATAATCGGATTTCGTGTTGCAGCACACGTTTTTATTACTAGACATACACGACCACATACACGACAATCTGACAATTTGTATGTATTAGTTTATAGTTTTGTATCCAGCTTTTGAAAACAATGTACTAGAGCTACGTTCAAATAAGCTTAATAGCTTGTTCGCCAATCCGTATGACATTTTGCAAAAAATATGTTTAACATTATGCAAACGTTAGCGATAAACAGATAGATGAATTGTGACAGATAGATGAATTGTGACAGATAGATGAATTGTGACAGATAGATGAATTGTGACAGATAGATAAAAACAGAACAAATAATCTTAATATAAAACAATACGTTGATGTTCTCATTATCAACTATCAATGAAATGTTGCACAAAATATTTAGATTCAAATTAATACTCACTTAATACTGACTTTGACAGACCAGTTACTATTCTTGCTCGTCTTCTTCCACCCCATCTTCCACGCAGTGGAAGAATCTGATTTTATTAAATAACCGATTGTTTTTTTAACGTTCCTTTCCAGCGAAGATCATGTGGGTTGAAGTTTCCAGAGCCTCGGAATACTGCGTGTTCAAAAGTACATCGAATTATCTTGGAAGTGATTCCTTCTTCACGGCTGGACACAGAAGAACTTTCCAGACGTCTTCATCCTTGACTTTGATGGATTCATGCGAGATGATTTGCATCCAAACGTTTTTCGGCAGGTCACTCACTTTGCATCTTGATGTGTTGTCAAGCAAGATCCCATCCGAGTCAACCTTCTTCATCAGTTCATCAAGTGAAAAATGAGATAACTTGGGGTTTTGAACATTGTATTTTCTCTAACCTTATCAGCTACTACTGATGATGAGCGCTTGAGAGAACAGTTACTGGTCATATTTGATGATGGAGCTGACGAGTTTCAAAAAGCGAACTGTGCGTTAACGTTGATGGTAGATCAGATGGTAGAGCTGCGTTCGATGTATATGTTTGAAGCAGGAGCGATGGATCTGAGACTGAGATCACAACTTTAACAGTTTTATAGTGGCGAAAAAATTAGGTTTACGACAGTCGTAATGCTACGATCTCTTTGTGAAACGGACAGAGGTCCGTTGCAAAGAGCGATCTTAGCGCAAAGTTGATCATAACTCATATACTTTAACACACTTGCACTTGCTCCTTGGACCCACTTGCACAAAGATCTTAGCGCTAAGGTGATGGTAACTTCAACACCTTAACAAAGACATACGACAGTTGAGCTCCAAGGTTGTTTTGTACAACGGCACCCTGCGCTGTACAACGGCACAAAACGATCTTAGCGTTATGACTATTACAACTATGTGTTAGAGTCTAGGAGTTAGGGTCATCATATCACTAAGATCGTTTTGTGGAAGTTGGCCCTGGGTACCGTTCTACAGAGCAACCTTAGCGCTACGCCTGTCGTAAGTCTATGTTAAGGTATGGGGATTACGATCACTTTAACGTTAAGATCTCTTTGTACAACGACAACCTGGTCAATAGTAATGACTACATAATTATACGTAATACCCGCTCTGATATGACACACAATCACCCATCTCCATGGAGAGGAAAGTGGTACACAAGTATGCAGACATACACTATATCTGTCACTATCTTCAATGAGTCGTCAGCACTTGACACCACATGGTGGGTGCATAAATCACACAACAGCCACAGGTCTATTTGTATGCACTATAGCTGCAATTGTGACGACTAAGCAATAAAAAGGGCCTCGCATTCAAACACTCCGTGTGTCTGAATGAAGTAACGTAATTATTTAAACAAAATGTATAAGCAGTACTGTAGCTAGTCATATTGAACAGATTCAATCTGACACAAGGAGCTGACAAAATAACACACCTGTTAAGAATGCAAACATGAAATTGTATATAGTGTCTATAGGCGTGCATGTTCGGGCATTGATACATGCACATTGGTACATTAAGCTTATGTCCATCTGTAAGTCTGGAGACATGTTAATTTCAGGAGTACTTTGCGCCGGTCATTTTCTCACCTCAATATTCTAGCCACGTCAAAGGGGAGACAAAGACAGTGTGATGCCCATGTGGAGAGCATTTTGGTCACCCATGATTAGACTGTCCTAAATGTTCTACATGAGCCTTCGGTCACTCAAGTCCTAAATGTTCTACGTGAGTCTGTGGTCTGTCAATACATCCTTTAGGACACCAATGTCCTATCTCCTCAAGATTCGTGCTCTTGTTCTGTCGGAATGAAACTTGTTGTATATATCGTTCTGGAGTTTATGTTTGAAAACAGTTTGGCTGCCCCAACAGACACATTTGGTTGCTATGGAGACCTATGTGAAGTCGGAGTGGAGTACTGCGCCGAGGATTCACGTCACTGCGTGCCATGTAGCCAGACGCAGGATGCCTGTGGTACGGTCAGCATCCTCAGTGACTGCCATCTCTACTGTTTGAGTAAGTAATATTTGTTGGAAATGGAATATGTTATATGTTATGCAATGACCGTGATAGGCAAGGGACAGGGGGACATCACTAGAGAGTTGGGGTATCATTAGAAGAGACAGACAGACTTTATTCAGAATTTAAGGCCTCATGGCCCAGAGTACATCACAATAGCCATAATACGGTGTGGTTGTACAGTGAGATCATTTTAAAAAATGGGTTCTCTTTAAAACGATAGCAACATTTTTTATCAATGATAAGTCTATGTATGATAATAACTTACAGAATTTCATCCTTGTGGGAGTATTGATATAAAAGGATGGTACATACAATTTTCTAAGAGACTCTCAGTATGGACAAATGAGAGTAATATGATATTCATCTTGTATCTCATGTAAACAACAACGTGTGCAGGTTATATCATTTACGTTATCACTATTACATTACCTATACTTCTGGACTTTGAGATTATGAGACTGACATCGTAATTTAACAAACAACCTTAATAAATCTTTAGGTAAAGTATCTGAAAAAATATTATTCAGCTTCAAAGACAGTTTTAACGGATTTATAGAAGGAAAGATAATTTGACTTGTTTAGTCTTGAATAGCAGTCTTGAACATTTATTTCAATACAGCGCTTTTTAAGGTATCATTATGGGATGCTGAGTGAAATGGGTTTAACGTGGCTTTGCCCGTATTCCAGTTGTATCAGGAGGGAATCCAGACTGACTGACTGACTGAGTTTGGTTTAACGCCGCTTTTAGCAATATTCCAGCAACATCACGGCGGGGGACACCAGAAATGGGCTTCACAAGGGAATCCAGAAGTGATGCAGGTATCACACGGTTACCACTTTGGTGGACCCGAGAAGATCCTGGTTAGAATTGGTCTTCAGCAGCCCATGCTTGCTTAGGAGACTAAGGGCATCTGGTGGTCAGGCTCGTTGACTTGGTTGACACCAATCGCGTAGGTCATGCTGTTGAACACTAGATTGATTGGTCTTGGCGCGATTACTTACAGAATGACGACATATAACTAGAATCTTGCTGAATGGAGTGTCAAACAACAATCAACAAACAACAAACAAATAACCACTTCGGTGGTGAGAAACCCAGAAAAATAACCGTATAGGATTTTTAAGAATATAAAACATTGACACGACAAGGGGCATTGACAAGAAATAATTGGACATCGTCACGAACGGGACTTTTGGGCTAAAGAACATTTGGGTACCACCAAGAAATTGGTTAATTGCCAACGATTGATGGTGTCGTCAATGTATAGGACGGTAGTACCAACCGAAGGGGACATAACCAAAGAACAGGGGTGCAGCCAGAGAATAGGGATCGTCGCCAAAGAATAGAGTACCAGGAAATGAGCTGGCAATAGGGGCATCACAAGACAATAGAGCAAAGGGAATATCGAGGAGGGAGGGCACCGCAATTTCAAAGGTGCAACTCATATAATTCTTTTTTCATAATCTCGTATATCAATGGTAACGTCAGCCTTGATGGTCATGGGTTCCCTGGCGTGTTTTATGTGTTCGCAGGACAAATGGTATCAATGAAAACCAATGGACCATTGCTCAAATAAAGTTTGGTGCCTATCCTATTATGGTTTTGTAGAGACCGCCGTAATGTATTTGGAATACCGTGCGGCGTTCAGCAATATTCACTCACCCCAACGCATTTGACATTTATTTCTGAACAAATAATCTGTTCCACATGGGAAATATACAGATCTGGTAGATGTGAAAGTGTCTATGTATCAATCTCTCTTTTTACCATTTTTTTAGATTTGACGGAGCAAGAGCCAAGTACAGTTCACACCACCATTAGCGTAACGGGAGTTCCTACTCGGCCTCATGCCGCTACATGTCAGAGGCTGACTCAACATGCTGTAGGTGGGTTGACACAGTTATGCACCATGGCTCACAACAGAAGCTGTCGATAAGCGATCATGTTGCACAGAGTAATACCACTACGTGTCAAAACAAGCTCTCTTAAATTACAGGTCAACCCGGAACACGTAGTTCGCGTGTTTCTTTTAGAGGCGTGCGGACTATATCAGATAACCGAGGCCCTATTCTATCATTCATTTTCGGTTTGCTTTCCCTTTGATCTAGATGACAGTTCGTCTCTTATATTGTCATATCGGTTGTCTCAAAGAATGTATAATTGGATTTCTTTTCGAGATAACGAGAACGTTAATTAGGTTTATCATTTTACTGAGCCCTGTGGGTCACATTTTGGAAACGCGTTACATAGTGACTCCGTTTGTCTCGAAGAATGGATAATGCGATGCAATTTCGTCGGACTGAGAACGTAGTGTTAACTACTTAATTATCAGTTTCATTGTAAACAAACATGCACATGTATAACATAATGACTCCGCTTTTCCCGAAGTACGGATGACTTGAATTACCTTGAAATGTTCGACAACGTTGAGTTCGCGTAGTTTCATAGTCGTTATTCATCTGCCTATCAATCCCTGTACTACTCCAATCCAAAGATGCGTGTTATCATTTTTGGACACTTCTTCCTTTCCAGAGGAACAGAGCCAGGAACCGACACTGCTCGTCCTAGCGGCAGTGTTTGGTGTGATGCTGGTTATAAATCTGAGTCTTTTCTTTGGCGGCCTCGTCATCCATTACCTGAAGAATGGTCCCTGCAAACAAGCAATGGTATGTGTCGCTGTGTAAGGTGAACTCTGAGTGAGTTAGATTAATTAATGCCGCTTTGAACAGTATATCTTTTCCAAGGCAGCCTGATACCACAAGATATCTCTACACACAAAACATTTTGTTGAATTGTATTTATACATTTACATTTCTTTAACATATTAACTTTTTATTTGTTATTTCATAATGTTCAATATTTATTTATTATCTAATTATTTATTTAATCTTATAAACATTTAATTATTTTAATTATTTTGGGGAAGTAGGGAGCCGGAATAGTACTGTTTACAGGTTACTTACGTAAACCACTAATCTGAAGCCAAAGATAGGCTGCTCACAAACCAGGGATCCTAAGAATCTGGGATTCGACACCATAATCGTTTCATACTAACACGGCTATGGGAAGATAAACTGGTGGTAACACTGAGAAATATGCCTGGTTTGCGCCACGATGTGCACAAATGGTACGTGCCCAACAGTACAGACATGAACCACCGAGTGCAGTTGGTCCCTTGGTCAAGACAGAAACCTATGATCTTGAGTTTGAATTTCTGGTGTGCTCCGCAATTTTTGTTGCTGGAATATTGCTAAAAGCCGTGTAAGCCCATACCCATTCATTCACTCTTGGGTTTGAATCCCTGTCTACACTGACAATGGTTTCTTTTTGGTCAGCAGCAAACATTGTTGACGCCGCTTGTAACATCGATCCAGCAATATCACCTCGGGGGACTCTAGAATTGGGCTTCACACAATGTAGCCATGTGGGTAATCGAACTCGGATCTTCGGCGTGACGAGCGAACGCTTCAACCACTGGGCTACCCCACCATCCCCCTTCCACATTGAGCTGACACGCGGTGATCAAACAGGAACGTTGCGTACATTGATACTATGTCAGTCCGCCATGTGTTTACCCTCTTGTTGTCAGTTACGCTGCGGTGCTCAGTTAAACCTACTCAACAATGACTCTCTAAATGGGTTTAAAAGGGTTAAACAAGTGTGACATCCGCTTTGTACATGTGTGGCACGGCAAGACGAGCAGTGCATGTCGCTTAAAATATCACCCGAAGTCTATCCGACAGACAATCCGACAAAAAATCAGAGCGTACAGCCTTGAGGACACATACATAATAAATGGAGGTAGCACTTAGTTCAATACAAGGGCTGTGGGGTAGCTTGGTGATTAAAGCGTTCGCTCATCATGCCAAAGACCCGGGTTCAATCCCCATGGGTATAATGTATGAAGCCCCTCTCTGATGTCCCCCGAAGTGATGTTGCTGGAATATTCTAAAAGCGGCATAAAGCACATACTCACTCCCTCGCTAGTTAAACACAAAGCTAACGCGTCACATAACATTTGCAGCATTCGAAACGCATTGTGTAATATGCTTTTTGTTTTACTTTATGTGCTGAGTTACATTCCTCAAACATTTTATTTCAGATTTATCACCTGTAAAAAAATGTAGGAGCTCTGCAAGAGGAGAAGTCGTCCATTGGACAATGAAAAGCACGAAAATGTCCGTAGTACCAGGCTGGATAACAGCGAATAACATTGAGATAAATATGCTTTATGCGTTTTGAACATATTTCATCTACAGTTTCTGGCTTTTATAGAAGTGACTGAATGGGATGTGTTTTACGTCTTGAAAGTATTTCATCTACAGTTTCTCGCTTATATAGGAGTGACTGAATGGGATGTGTTTTACGCCGTGAACTTATTTCATCTACAGTTTCTGGCTTTTATATGAGTGACTGAATGGGATGTGTTTTACACCTTGAACGTATTTCATCTACAGTTTCTGCTTTTATAGAAGTGACTGAATGGGATGTGTTTTACACCTTGAACGTATTTCATCTACAGTTTCTGCTTTTATAGAAGTGACTGAATGGGATGTGTTTTACACCTTGAACGTATTTCATCTACAGTTTCTGGCTTTTATAGGAGTGACTGAATGGGATGTGTTTTACACCTTGGATGTATTTCATCTACAGTTTCTGGCTTTTATAGAAGTGACTGAATGGGATGTGTTTTACACCTTGAACGTATTTCATCTACAGTTTCTGGCTTTTATAGAAGTGACTGAATGGGATGTGTTTTACACCGTGAACGTATTTCATCTACAGTTTCTGGCTTTTATAGAAGTGACTGAATGGGATGTGTTTTACACCTTGAAAGTATTTCATATACAGTTTCTGGCATATATAGGAGTGACTGAATGGGATGTGTTTTACACCTTGAACGTATTTCATCTACAGTTTCTGGCATTTATACGAGTGACTGAATGGGATGTGTTTCGCGTCTTGAAGGTATTTCATCTACAGTTTCTGGCTTTTATAGGAGTGACTGAATGGGATGTGTTTCGCGTCTTGAAGGTATTTCATCTACAGTTTCTGGCTTTTATAGGAGTGACTGAATGGGATGTGTTTTATACCTTGAACGTATTTCATCTACAGTTTCTGGCTTTTATAGGAGTGACTGAATGGGATGTGTTTTATACCTTGAACGTATTTCATCTACAGTTTCTGGCTTTTATAGAAGTGACTGAATGGGATGTGTTTTACACCGTGAACGTATTTCATCTACAGTTTCTGGCTTTTATAGAAGTGACTGAATGGGATGTGTTTTACACCGTGAACGTATTTCATTTACAGTTTCTGGCTTTTATAGGAGTGACTGAATGGGATGTGTTTCGCGTCTTGAAGGTATTTCATCTACAGTTTCTGGCTTTTATAGGAGTGACTGAATGGGATGTGTTTTGCGTCTTGAACGTATTTCATCTACAGTTTCTGGCTTTTATAGGAGTGACTGAATGGGATGTGTTTTATACCTTGAACGTATTTCATCTACAGTTTCTGGCTTTTATAGGAGTGACTGAATGGGATAGCAGACGTCACAGGAAGGCCTGAGGTGAATTGGTCAGCACATTAACCTCACTTCCTGATCACTGGACCGTATCATGTTTTAACTTGTAGGCAGAATGGGACTATAGGCAGAATGGGAAGACACCATTACACAGGGTCCCAAACCACAAAAGTCATCCCTATCTTCACGAGTTTTGAACGCCTTATGAGCTTGGTGCTCTCAGCAATGTACAGATGTCACTTATACGATGCAGTACTTGGATCCTAGGCCGCAAGATCGCACGACAGACTTGAGGACAGATTTACCTCTCTCCAAAAGACCAATGTCACTGTCAATCTGTTAATTCGAATAGGCTCAAGTCACCCTCCCAGGCCTGTTGGCCTGTGAACCGAGGCTCCGGTTACAGTCAAGGTCTACGGAATCGATGTCAATAAGCCTACTACAAGGAAGTTGGTACGTTGATTCCATTGGCGGGCCATGTCGGCAACCGTTTGAACACCATGTTGAAGAGGGACTTTAAGTTCGTGGTTAAAGGTCATTGTCCGTTACGGATTTCCTGTCTGTTTATACCAGCTACTCGATCACTTCAAAGCTCGACTGTTGTACTTCGTCCTAATTATTACAGGTCAATAAAGCTTTACGAGTTTGTCGTTCCCTGATCTTTGCACCCAGTGTGGGCGATATTAAAAACCCCAAGGTCAGAACGATAATGTGAAATGTGTCACTATCGAGCTAACGAGGATGAATATAACGTTTCACTTTTATGTGTATCTGACTCAACTCCAATTGAAAAAATCTGATATATTCCTGTGCACTGTTGTAATGATACAGATACTGTGGAAATACGATATCTTTAAAACAGTCCATAAAAATAAACACATAAAACCATGTCTATGTATTTATACCACTTGGGCGGTGGGGTAGCCTAGAGGTTAAAGAGTTCGCTCTTCAAGCCGAAAACCTAGGGTCAATTCCCCACATGGGTACAATGTGTGAAGCCCATTTCTGGTGTCCCCCGTCGTGATATTGCTGGAATATTGCAAAAAGCGGTGTAAAACTAATCATACTCACTCGTATATACCACACATTGTTGCATTAAAATTATGTGCAAATTATCTATATGTACTACAGGTCCGTGGAATCGAAAGTACCTGAATAAGTAAAACGCAAATATTATGGATGACAACCTCCTCTTTATTTCTTGGTCAAGACAGAACCCTATGATCTTGGGTTTGAATTTCTGTTGTCCTCCGCATGTGTTATTGCTGGACTATTGCTAAAAGCGGCGTAAACCCATACCCACTCACTAACTCTTGGGTTTGAATCCCTGTCTACACTGACAATGTTATAGAAGTGACTGAATGGGATGTGTTTTACGCCTTGAACGTATATGACAAACAATAAAGAAGAAGTTGTCATCCATAATATTTGCGTTTTACTTGAACACCAACTTCTAAATGCCTGTCAAGAACCTCACCTGAATAAGGATTGATTGAGTTTTTGGTGTTTCTTATTGTTAACCACCTAACACTATCGCGCTCTTTACTTGTGATTCGGGGGACGATTCCAGCTGCTCTGGTTAGTGAGGAAGAAATATGGGATAAAAGCTGAGTTTTACAAAGCCCCTCTGTAATTAAAGTAAAATTTGGGTAATGTCTATCTGAACTTTTCCTGGCTGAATGAAACCCTGGTTGGAAGCGTTCATTTTCATCCTTCCCTCAAGCATGGACCGTTGTCAACCAGCTGTTTTCCTTTACCTAATATTGCTGCTTGCCTTTTCTCTCTCGCCCCAAATATGATCAACATAGAGGCGATCACGGTGCTGAGATGTTCAAATATATGTTGCCATGGACCAGATACAAAGCATGGCAAAGGCACGTTTGTTGTGGCTTCTTATTGAATAGAGTATTATATTTTGTAAACAACCAGTTACAAGACATGTCACTTGATGCTCTATTTTAACTTCATTATTGAATATGTTCGAGTCACTTTATCAACAAAACTTATTATGAGTTTATCAGATAGAACAGAAGTGACAAAACCCTTTCCAAAGCCATAAGAAATCACTGCTAAAAGCAGAGTCGATTGTACAATTCTCACTATATCATGAGTATATGTAAGTTTCAGCGGTATTACATCCGAACAATGTTGTTTGCAAACACTCTGGACCAGACAACCCACTGATTGTGACCATGCGATACGATGACAGAGCAGGTGTTTATGAAACATACTTAGCTTATTAGTAGTTCTGTATCATATGTATATATAAAGTAAGTGGTGCTTAATTTTGTTTCTCGCGTACTTAATCCTATCTGGTTTTAAATACTGACTTGATAATATGCGATTGATAAAAGTTTAATTGCTGGAACGTTGTTGATGTTTAAAAGAAGGTTATAAAGAATACAGCCATTTTGGGTAATGCACCGACGAGGCAAATAAAAATCCCATAACTAAGACGGTGATAAGGAACACACTCTTTCAAACCTCCACACTGCATACCTTTTCTATCCCGTCAACCCTTGAAAACCCTTCAATGTTCTTAGCATACAAATACAATATAATACCTCTTACCCAACCAATAAGCATTACATAATAACAAATCAACGCGCTACCAGTCACGTGACATTCCCTAGATTGACGTCACTCTACAACTACTTCAACTACAGTCAATCATGGCGATAGATGGAGTCATCCTTATGCTGCCGTTGTTTCTTTGCTGCGGAAGTTATGGAGGTGAGTATATGAGATGTTTTTTTAGCATTACATACCTTTGTGGTAACGTTTCGAGACTTCCAGATATATGTGATCAACGATCACGAATACTTTATAGTGTACTTCAACAATGAATACCTACACTTTATACAATCGATTGCCTGGGCATGCAGGTGTCTGACACAGCTCGACATGAATTTAAACCATGTGAGTACTTAATAGATCCAATGTTTATTAATATCTGATCACTGAACATATTTGAGGAGGAGGTGTCGTGTGTGCAGATGTACACATGCTTGTACCTGTACGCTGTATGCTGGTCACGTTCCACTAACTGCTTCCTTGTTTCGAGTCGTGTCCGTAAAGGAATACTTCATTCGTGAGCAGCGTATTCTGTAATCTTTGCATCATGCAGTATTTGTGTTATATCATAGAACATTTTTGATATATAGTTTTTATCGGCAAACAATTATAGCTTACTTGAGAAAGGATAGACTAATCCAAAACAAAAAAATTAAGTGTTGCATTGCTAAAACTCATTGATGGCGCATAGTAGGACAGACTGTTTTGTTTAATAATTGACTGCCACTAAGTGAGAGTTGAACTGTGAATTTGCGTAGAGTGATGAGTATTATTTTATATCCGAATGATGTTGGTAGTTGTATGTTTGTAGATGTAAATATGAAGTCACAAAAGGAATATACGCACGTCACACCCAATCTGTGCAACTGCACATTATAACAAAACATATAACACAAAAACCATTCCAAGTGCCTGCTTTGGGTAGACCAATTACCTGTCCATTGCGTGAAATGAACAAGTTGGATATCCGCATTGTGAAATATTTACAGAACTGTTTTTCATTCACAACATTTCATGCATATATTTGTGTAGAAAATTGTTTGAGCAGATAATTGTGTGCCCTCTGCACACTGCACGCATTGGACAAACGACCTGCCCTATGCACGGAGTGGGCAGTTGCACAGATTGGGTGTAACAATTACGTATATTCCTTTAATGGAGCATTTTTGCCGCTAACTTTTTTTCGATCGTGCTCAGTGACTTCATTCACTGCAACTAATGAACAAATGGAACAATTTTCCAGAGAGTCAGTTTATGACAATTTACCTGCATCTGGTTGCAATGGATTTTCCTTTTGTGATGTGACTCATGCTGTAGCTCATGACCATTGATTAGCTGGTCACGTTTTATATACAGATTCATTGTCAGATAAAGACTGGGTCTGCACGTTATGACTGAAGTAAGTATGGGATTTCCACCAACGCGTCTGTACACTACAAATTCTCGATCAAGATAGGAGTAGGATGAGTGAGTGAATGAGTTTAGTTTTACGCCGCTTTTAGCAATATTCCAGCAATATCACGGCGGGGACACCAGAAATGAGCTTCACACATTGTACCTATGTTGGGAATCGAACCCTGACCTTCGGCGTGAGGGGCGAACGCTTTAACCACTAGGCTACCCCACCGCCCGAAGATAGGACAAAATGCAAAATGCAATATTAATCAGGATATTTAACAGGAACGGAGGATAGTTACTGGTGTTCAACATATCAATATTCGTAACCCGGATGATGTTAAAGTAAGTATATACCTGTCTCAGTCATTTCTTTACACAATATAGCATGGTGAGGACCATCAAGTGTGTTCTGAAGCGTATGTGACACACGGTAGATAAAGGACCATTACACGTGCACTGGGTAATGGTGACCTGTTTTCAGTAACAATCGGTCATCCTTCTTCTCTCGTTGCTCCCTGCTGTTGTTATATCACACACGACGTACTGTTGTAACTTCTGATTGTTCTGAGACCACTGTCCATCTCCATTTTGTTCAGTGCTACATAATGCATGTCCATGACAAAATGTACTGACTACCTTCAACTAGTGGTAGGTGTATAAATATTGGATCTAAAATATCTTTGGCTCTTTGAGAGAACGCGCACATCGAGTTTCAGTTGCAAATATATCAGTTTAACACCCCTTATACTTGGGTCTGAGCTAACAGCATGGTCTGTCCCGACCGGTTTCATTAAACTGTCTAACATTTTCCTTCTTAAACCATTAAAAACCTATTTGTATGTTCATACATTCCCAAATCCTATCCCATGAGGCATCAGTAAATACAGATAGAGGCTAGTTTTCAAAATTTAGCTATAGTTATTAATAAGGCAAATATATTTCTAATGTTAAAGATGAAGAATACGATTATTTGTTAGAACATTTATTCTTACCATCATGCATTAAAGATGATTATCCAAAGGTAGATCACTGGCCCTGTATGTTGAAGCTCCCTCATTCCTGGTTCGGGTCTATGGCATCTAGCATCCATTTGGTAGTCTATGACCAATCATAGTACACATTGTGAAATGATTGGGAGTGTTATGCAACGTGATTGGTTGTTAAGGTGGATAGGATTCCGGAAATCGGAATATGTTTGAGACAAGACACTGGACATTTTTTTTAAATGTATAACTTGTCTTTCTAAAATACATTATCAAAGTAAGAAACATGACTGTTTTTAATTAATGAAAATGGATATAAGGCATCTAGTCCACACGGACATACCATGCACTATATTCGACATACATAAGAACCTTCAAATATAAATTGCAATTTAACAAACGCGTATGTGCATACTGCGCTTATATTGTGTGCGATTTGATCGTTGAAATCACTTCTTATGCACGCCTTTCTAATGCGTGAGCAAACATTTGCATTTCAGAGGGCTGTAAACTGTTTTTTTAATGTATATAAATTGTGTGTTATCACTGAAAGGATCGTGGATGAAAAAAGTGTGTCATGCATTTTAAGGGGTGTAAATAATGGTTCGTGGAAGTATTTCATTTATTTACCGGTTAACAATTAAGTATCACCCTGTGAACACTCACAGAACCCCTATTATGACACAATGCCATATGTAATATGTAATATTGTAATATTTGGGATAGCATTTTCGTAGTAAAGTACAGATTCTAGAACTTTTGTTGGGTTGAGTCCCATCCGTGATTCGAACGCACACCCTCAGAGTCAGGCACGTAATCGCCAGCACACAAAGTCAGCCGACTAACCGCTCAGCCACCGCGGCCTCCACCGCTGGAAGAAAGTGTAATCCTAAATATAACATATGTTAGAACCTCTATTATTCCCCAGAGGAGTCGACTTGAAAATCCTTGCTTGCTCCACTGGTTTGTTGTTTTGAACATCACAGTTGTCGTCTTCCAGGGAATAAACCAGAGCTGTATTTCATTTCGCAATGATTCATATTTTTTATGTCCCAAAAATGACAAAAAAACACGCTGTTATTTAGCATGTAGCTTGTCGAAATGAAAGCCACCTCCATACAATAGATTTGGGTAATAATGATAAATGAAAGGAAGTGCTGAACAGGTTTTCTGAACCACAAAATACAATCTATTTGACATCCAGGGTTGCCCTGTAAATGGTTTAACTTTTTGTATAACCTGATAACATATCTCATATTTGCAGATAACGGGATATATTGTCACTGTGTTTGTGTGTGTTTTTTTGGTTGTTTTGGGGGGAGGTGGGAGGGGGGGGGGTGCAATTTATTTTGTGAATACGTTCAGGAAGTTGATGAGTCAAAAATCATGAAATATAAAGCTTTGGGAAGAGAGTGTTATGGGTGTCAGCTTCTTTATTATGAGGAATACAGTATATCCTTCCTCCTTCATTCATCCACCTGATGAAGGATGTGTATCACAGCTAAATGCCATTCAAAGACTTTAACGCTTAGTTTGATAATGGTGTAAGAACCTACATCGAAACGCCGCTCTATGCAATAAACCAGAAGTTGTCATCCATAAAGTTGCATGCTACTTTGTTTTCTGATTGTCATTTCATCGGTTGATTGGTCATTACGATGTGGATGGAGGAAAGGTAGTCAGGTAATCTGCGACGATGCACGCATTTTGCTATGTGTACATATTGCCAATATTGATCATAGGAAAAATAAGGTTCTTGTACAAAGTATACTCAACCAAAAACGTTAAGGACCACCCCAATTTTCAATATTACTATCTAATATGAAGTGGAACACTTTTTATGGATAGACAACTTCTTTGTTGCAGTAGTAGTTGCGACGTTTCGGTGTAAATCCTAACACCGTTATCAAGCAAATGCTAACGGTGTTAGGATTTACACTGACACGTCGCAACTACTACTGCAACAAAGGAGTTGTCTATCCATAAAGAGTGTTCCACTTCAATAATACCATCTTCTAAATGCCTCTTAAGGAAGTTATAATATCTTATATCATCTGGATATCATGATCCAGTAATACTTGAATATTGAATATTTGGGTGGAGTATATACACAGCACAATACATTTGTGGAATTGGTGATATAGTGAGCACAAATACCTCTGTCTCGCCGCGACTGTAATAGCTACGTGGATTCTTCTGTCGCTTTTGCTTTATATCAGCCTATATATAGATCCACTGATCTCCTATAACATTAACATTCCTTAAACGAATATCGATCTTGATAGATAATGAAGGAAAATAAAAAGCGAAACGGAGGGACAATACGATCCAAGTTCACTGTACATGTGCCTCTATCATCACGTGCAAAAACAAACTTTCAAGAGATCATGTTTACATTTAGACTTCCAAAGCTGACATGCATATGATTTAATCCCCAAGCTATCATCGCGCCCATAACAAAAGATGTTCCCCAGTGCGCTGGGACATTGTCATAGCCAATGGTAAACGGTCAAACGATCGCCAACACCCATTGTACGTTGTAGTAACCGAAGACTGAAAATATTCTATTGATGTTGTCATAGCCCAATTTCTGCAATTAAACCTTTCTGCCATTAAACCCCTCGCGCAAACGGTTCCTTTGGAAATCTCTGGATAATACCTGCAGCGCATGTTTGTGGTTAAAGATCTTTGCAAAAACTAGTCACAACGTGGCGTGTTTATCGACCTGTTACAATCAGTACTTTAACAACTGGCGAATAGAAGTATACACTAAGGTAG